ACCGACTGAGCCACCCAGGCGCCCCACAGCATGTGACTCTTGTTCTTGGGGTTGTAAGTTAGAGCCCAGGTTGGGTGTAGAGATTACTTAAAAATAAAATCTTAAAAAAAAAAATCACTGTTTTATGTAAATAGCCAGACTGACAAGGTCTGAAAAAGCTGAGAGCTAGTCTTCTTCTGTTTTTAGCCACTGAAAAAGTTACAAAGTAATCACCTTTAAAAAAACAGCTTTACTGAGATAAGTTCACATACATAAAATGTACCCATTTGAAGTATACAATTCAGTGGTTTTTAGTATGTTCACAGAATTATGCATCCATTACTACAACCAATTTTAGAAAATGCTCATTGTCCCCCTCCTCCCCAAAAACCCGTACCCATTAGCCGTCACTCTCCATATATCCCCAGTCCCCCAGTCCTAGGTGACTGGTAATTTACCTTCTATCTCTGTGGATCTGCCTATTCTGGACATTTATATAAATGAAATCAGTGTGTGGTCTTTTGTGGCTTTTATTTAGCATAATGTTTCAGGGTTCATCTGTGTTGCAGCATGTATCAATACTTCATTTCTTTTTTTTATCAAATACTATTCCATCGTATGGATATACCATATTTTATTTATCCATTGATCAGATTATAGATGTTTGGGTTGTTTCCATTTTTGGCTATTATAAATAATACTGCTATGAATATCCGTGCCTGTGGTTTTGTGTGGACATTATGTGTTCATTTATCTTGGATATGGAATTTAAGAATGGGACTGCTGGGTGATATGGTAACACGTGTTTAGCCTTTTGAGGAACTGTTAGACTGTTTTCCAGAGTGGCTGCACCAATTTACCTTCCCAAGAGCAATGTATGAAGCCTCTAGTATTTCCACATCCTTGAGAACACTGGTTATCTGTCTTTTTGATTGTAGCCTTCCCAGTGGATATAAAGTAGTATCTCATTGTGGTTTTGATTTGCATTTCCTTGATCACTATGATTTTGAACATTTTTTCATTTGCTTACTGTCCATTTGTATGTCTTCTTGGGAGAAAGAGCTCTTCAGATTCTTTGCCCAATTTTTTATTGGGTTATTCTTTCTTTTTAAGTAAGTATAAGAGTTCTTTGTGTATTTTAGATGCAAATCTCTTATCAGATACTTGATGTGCAAAAATTTTCTCCCATTCTGTTGTATTTTCATAAAGCTAATCACCTTTTAAGTAGTTCAATTTAATCTTGTTACAAGGTTGAACTAATTTGAATTTGAGTATTTTCTTTATCTTTTTCATTAGTTAATTAGTTGGCTAATTTACATATCTGCCTAAAGATTATGTAAGTTAATTTCTTTAAATGTCTTTGGAATTGGGAAAGCATAGATAGATCTATCTGTATGATCAAGTATCCAATTATATATATAGTATATATAGTATTCCCATCATAAGTATTCCATTTTTTAAATAGATTTTAAGTAATCTCTGCATCCAATGTGGGGCTTATAACCCCGAGATCAAGAGTCACATGCTCCACTGACTGAGCCAGCCAGGCGCACCCCCATGAGTATTTCATTTTTATATGCCATCTAGTTATTTTATCTGTCTATATCTTAGCTCCTCTAATGCTTTTGAAATCTAGGACCACAGCTATAGACTTATTTCAAAGCTCAATATCTGTGGTACGTAGATATGTTTGCTAATTGAGTGGATGACGAATTGTGGGGAGAAAATTAAGATAAACCTAAACACTGGACCTTAGTTTAACCCTCTTGTCAAAAAAGTCTTTCATATTTACAGGTGCCAGTCTTATTTTCTCAAGGTAAATAGACTACAAGAAGTATTTTTGCATGATTTTTCATGTATTTAAAAGTGTCCAGTTTCTAGTATGTTTCTAAACTTCCAGTTAATGTCATTCAGTTTGCTTTTTGTTTTCTCCTTATTGCCTTCCAGGGGTTATAATGAAAAGAAACTAAAAGAAAATATTCAGTGTGAAATTTTTCAAGTTCTTTATGAAGAAGCATTAGCATCCTACAAGGAAGAAATAGTACATCAACTGCCCAGCAATAAACCAGAAGATCTAGAGGATAATATCAATCAGATATTGAAGTGGATTGAGCAGTGGATCAAGGATCATAGCTCCTGACTTATAAGACTGGCCACTTTACAACCACTCTTGTTATATTCCTGCCATAATGAATAAATTGTCCAGTTATCAGTAAAACTTTCTTATTAAGATTGTGCTGCAGGACTAGTATATGGATAATCTAAAGGTTTATGTTTGGGCTTTTTTTCTCCACGAGAAAGCAAAACATTCTCAAGTATAGTATATATAATATCATTAAGGATTTAAAGTAAAAACTGTCATCTTAAATGCTTCAACTGCTGAAGAATAAATAAATCTGACCAAATGGGTGGCTATCTTCTAAGCTGGTTACAAAAGAAAATGAAGGTGATCCCTTAAAATAAAACTTAAGACTAAGGATAAAACATCAGAGTTTTTCATTTTTATTTCTTAAAAAAACAAACACATGATTAAGTGGAAATGCTTATACTCTGTATAAAAACCAAAAGGTACAAAAGAGTATCCTGGAAAGGTAGGTTTCCCTTCCAGGCCGTCCCTATTCTTCAGCCACCCAGACCCCCCCCCTCCCATTAGGAAGTAATGTTGCTGGTTTCCGGTGTCTCTTTTCAAGAGATTTTATGCCTGGGAAGTGTGTGTTTGTGTATGGTAGTTTCTTTAAGCATGTGGAAGCATGCTGTGTATGCTGTTCTGTTTTGTTTTGTTTTTTTCATTTAATATGTTATGGAGAGCGTATCATCTCAGAACATACAGACCTCCCTATTCTTTTAAATTAAGGTAAAATTCACCATTTAAAAGTGCACAATTGACTGGCTTTTATTATACTCACAAGAATGTGCAGCCATCACACATTAACTGTTACTATCTAATTCCATATATAACATTTTTATCACCCCACCCAAAAGAAGTCCCGTACTATTAGCAGTCACTTCCCATTTTTCCCTTCTCTCAGCCCCTTGGAATCACTGATTTGTCTATATGGAATGTGCATATTCTGGGCATTTCATATAAGTGGAATCATACAATATGTGGTCTTTTGTGCCTGGCTTCTCTGACTTAGCATAATATTTTAAGAGTCATCCATGTCGTAGCCTGTACCAGCACCTCATTTTTATAATCAAATCATATTCCACTGTATGTACCACCTTTTGTTGATGCATTCCATCAGTTACATGATTGGGTTGTATCCATTCTGGGTATTATGAATTATGCTCTGAACATATGTGTACATGTTTTTTTGTGGATGTAGGTTTTCAATTCTCTCGGGTATACAGGGAAATTGCTGGGTCATACTGCAACTGAGTTTAACTTTTTGAGAAAATACCAAACTGTTTTTGCAAAGTGGTTGCATTACTTTACATTCCCACCATCTATGTAATAGGGATCTAATTTCTCCACATCTTTGCCAACACTTGCTACTGTTTATCTAATAGTCATCCTGTGGATGAAACTGTCGTATTTCGTTCTGGTCTTCAGTGGTCTTCATTTTGGTTCATTTTGGGGTAGGTGGGGGGATGGAGGGGCAGCAGGAGACAGAATCTCAAGCAGGCTCCACGCCCAGCAGAGCCGGATGCTGAGCTGGATCTCACAACGCTGAGATCATGACCTGAGGCAAAATCAGGAGTCAGAGGCTTAACTGACTGAACCACCCATGCACCCTGGGCTGTTTTTCATATGCCTATTAGAATATGATTCCTATGGGGCACCTGGGTGGCTCAGTCGTTAAGCATCTGCCTTCGGCTCAGGTTATTATGATCCCAGGGTACTGAAATCGAGCCCCGCATCGGGCTCCCTGCTCGGCGGGAAGCCTGCTTCTCCCTCTCCCACTCCCCCTGCTTGTGTTCCCTCTCGCTGTCTGTCAAAATAAATAAATAAAATCTTAAAAAAAAAAAAAAAAGAGTATCATTCCTACATCTTCTTTGGATCCCTAATCTTTTTTTTTTTTTTAAGTTTTATTTAAGTAATCTCGGGGCACCTGGGTGGCTCAGTCGGTTAAGCGACTGCCTTCGGCTCAGGTCATGATCCTGGAGTCCCGGGATCGAGTCCCGCATCGGGCTCCCTGCTTGGCAGGGAGTCTGCTTCTCCCTCTGACCCTCCCCCCTCTCATGTGCTCGCTCTCTCTAGCTCATTCTCTCTCTCAAATAAATCAATAAAATCTTAAAAAAAAAAAAAAAAAAGTAATCTCTATACCCAGTGTAAATTAAGAGTCCGAGATTACTATTTTTAGTAATACTAATGGCTGTTTGAAAAGACGGTATTCTTTTCATTACTGGGATTCACTAAATTATCAAATGATTGCTAATTATCTTAACACTAAAATTGATTCATCATAAAGGTTTTCCTTCAACAGAAGGGAGATTATGATCTATTAGGGAGTTTAATATGGAGCTATACACCTTTTGGGAATTTTGTAAATATACTTACTAATTTCAGTCCTACGTTTTCATGTGAACTAGTAACAATTCTTTAACATCTTACAGTTATTTGAAGAAAAAGGTCTTAGGGACGCCTGGGTGGCTCAGTCAGTTAAGCCTCTGCCTTAGCTCGGGTCATGATCCCAGGATCCTGGGATCGAGTCTTGCATCAGGCTCCTTGCTTAGCTGGGAGCCTGCTTCTCCCTCTGCCTCTAGCCCTCCCCCTGCTTGTGCTCTCTCTCCTCTTTCTCTCAAATAAATAAATAAATAAAATCCTTAAAAAAAATTAATGAAGTCTTAGAAATAGCCCCATTTACTGTTTGGTTTTATTCAAACCTAATTGTTAACTTTTTTATTAAATAGACTAATTTAAAACAAACTTAAGGAGAGGGGCACCTGGGTGGCTCAGTCACTTAAGTGTCTGCCTTCAGCTCAGGTCATGATCTCAGGGTCCTGTGATGGAACCCCACATCGGGCTCCCTGCTCAGCGGGGAGTCTGCTTCTTCTTTTCCCTCTCCCTCTGCCCCTCCCTTCCACTTGTGCACCCTCAATCTCTCTCAGATAAATAAAATCTTAAAAAAAAAAAAGATAAAGTGTACCAAATTTTAAATTTTTTCCTTTTTTCTTTTCTTTCTGTTTTTTAATAGGGGAGAGCACGAACGCAGTCCCCCACTACCACAAATTACGCAGTTGAGTTTGCCACATTTGGGGAAATCGCAGGGGTCAGCACATCTGGAGTGCAATGGACGAGCTGGGAAAACCACCTGGTATCATGGTATCTCCCCTGCCAGGTTTAGTATAAAAGTGTATCAAATTTTTAATCATTTTCTATTTCTGTAAATGAGACTTCTTAATAAGATTTATTCAGTTCCTCATGAGTGCCTTAATAAGCTTAGATGTATGCATAACCACTATTTTCCTTTTGCCCGTCCTCCTTGGTATATATATTCTTGTGCGGGCTTTGAAAAAGGGGTTTGACCTCACTTCATCTATATTTCTTCTTACCACCAATCCCTGACCAACATTTAAATTTTTTTTTTTTAAGATTTTATTTATTTATTTGACAGAGAGAGACACAGCGAGAGAGGGAACACAAGCAGGGAGAGTGGGAGAGGGAGAAGCAGGCTTCCCACGGAGCAGGGAGCCCGACGCAGGTCTCCAGCCCAGGACCCCGGGATCATGACCTGAGCCGAAGGCAGATGCTTAACGACTGAGCCATCCAGGCACCCTAAATTTGTTGGTTTTTAACAAAAAGTGATAGGGGTCAAAACTGCTAAGAAACATTTATCCTTTCCTATGGAGTGTGGAGAGTCCCAAGGTTAAAAAAAAAAAAAAAATCACAGTTCTTAGTAACTTTAACTGCTGTATATGTGAAAAACAATGTCATGAAAATTATTTATATATACCTAGACTTTTATTTAAAATTTAGTTCCTTAACCCTTTTTATAACATAAATCCCTTTGACAGTCTGATATAAGCTATGAACACACTTCCTCCAAGGAAGACAGATACACATATATTACTATAAAATGTTTTTTAGGTTTTTCAAAGACTCACAGACCCCTGAAATCCATTCAGAGGTTTATTGTCTAAGGGGCTTATTTTTACGGAAGGGAGGATTCAAAAAATTACAAGGTTGGGGCACCTGGGTGGCTCAGCTCTTGATCTTGAAGTTGTGAGTTGCAGCGCCACACTGGATGTAGAGATTACTTAAAAATAAACTTTAAGGGGCACTTGGGCAGCTCAGTTGGTTAAGTGTCTGCCTTTGGCTCAGGTTATGATCTTGGGGCCCTGGGATAGACACCTGCATCGAGCCCCAAACCAGGCTACCAGCTCAGTGGGGAGTCTGCTTCTTCCTCTCCCTCTGCCCCTTCCCCCCACTCGTGATCTCCCTCCCTCTCTCTCTCTCAAATAAATAAAGTCTTAAAAAACTTTTTTTTTAAAAAAGTGAACCTCAAACTTAACTACATACCATATTAATGCAAAATGTTTCAGAGACCCAAATGTAAAACCTAAAATATATAAAAATTCTAGTTGAAAACTAAGTAAAAAATTTTAGTGTTCTTTGATTAGGCAAAGATTTCTCTGATAGAACATAAAAAACACAAGCCAAAGAAAAAAGAATCGATAAATTTGACTTCATCAAAATTTAAAGCTCTTCCTCTCTTCAAAAGACACTATTCAGGGACGCCAGGCTGGGCGCCTGGGTGGCTCAGTTGGTTAAGCGACTGCCTTCGGCTCAGGTCATGATCCTGGAGTCCCGGGATCGAGTCCCGCATCGGGCTCCCT